TCTCTTGGGGGTCTCTCTTGGGGGTCTCTCTTGGGGGTCTCTAGTTTGGACTTTGTAACATGTAACTGTCCCGAGAAGAAATCAATGATAACACTCGAAATAACACCCGAAAATGGTTTAAAAGCTCGAAAGCCCCAATACCACAATGCTCAAACTACAAAAGCTCGAAATTTTGGTCTTCGTCGATCTGTAACTAAGAGCTCTTCGATCTTAAACTTTCCCAAAAATGGCTCAAAAGCCCGAACGCTCCCCTGCTACGTGGCTCAAATTAAAAAAGCTCAGAATTTAACTCTCTAGGAAATTCAGCCAACCCAAAATAATTCAAAAGCTCGAAAGTACTAACTTCGCGGGGCTCAAATTAAGAAAGCTCTACGTTTAACTCTCCAGGAGTTAAGCGTATTACATAATTTAATTGTACATACAATAATAAAGTCAGTTACATTTAAGTGTTGGCAATTAACAAACTTAAAAAGAAATATTAGATTTGAATCTGGAATGATGCCAGAGGTTCGCGATAGTTTCTCCAATTACACAACTTCATCGACTATGTGTGTAGAATCAGAATGATAATATCTTACTATGTACCTATAAAAAATTATTAAATTGCTGTAAAACAATTCTCTGTTAAGAATCGTTATTAAATCATTAATGTAGAATAAATGCCTATAAAAAGTAATATGACAGTAAGAACTTCAATTTTATTTGTCAAAATTTCAATTATTAAAATAAAAACTATTAGTATATACATTAGTATATATATTAGTATATACATTATCGAAGAATGTTATTAAATTAAAATAACTTCTTATATAAATTGTATAACTGTAATTTATATAGTAATTGTATTTATCACAGTATTTACGTTTGGGTATTGATAAATACTGCATTATTATGAGGTTCTGTTGAATAAATACTACTTGCATCGTTTAACAAACATTTATTATTTTCTGACGAAATAATAACAATATTATTTGCAACATACATAAAGAAATATCATGCATAAATTAAGGAGTAGAATTGTTTTATTTCTATATTTTATGCGCTAATACCTTATTCAACATTTTATATTGAAGTTTTCATTTTATAATTTTGCTGTCTTCAATCAAATGGTGATTGAGAGTCGCCTCTCGAGTGCAAAGGGTTGAAGTTTTAAGTCTTGTATTATCGGTAACGTCGATCGTGATACCGGAATGGTACAGGGGTCTTAAGACCCTGAAGTCCTAGTAAAAAATTACCATAAGCTGTAATGTCTATAAATATGCATCCTAAGACGGTAGCAATATTTTTCATTCTAATTTCTGTCACTTATAGCGTTGCTATACAAAACCAGCTTAAGTCAATATTACTGGGTCGACACGAATATTGTGGGGGGGTCTTGAGACCCCGAGAGCGCGTGATAAAATTTTACATTGCATATTATGTCTATCTTGTACCTCGTCTATGCAAGTATAAATACTTACTAAGTATTTTTGACAGTGTCGGTATTTCAAAACTATAAATAGAAAATATCATTAGATATGACGTCTACAAGCATTTATTCTATGACATTACTCATTTAAAAATTAATTATTAATTGAACATGTCAGAAGCAATATTTGTTAATTAATAATATTGATTTCGAAACGTTCAAATTACTAGTGGACGCTTGCAGAAAAATATAATTCTAATTTGTGCGATTATTTTTTCTATATTTTCTGTGGTATATCATAGAATAATATGAATTAAGAGAGGAGTTCCATTTTGTAAAGAGAAAATGGAGGTTATTATAGAAAGAACTTTATAAATGAAATAATTCCAATTTTCAGATAAGGTATTAATATATGAATACATTTAATACGATTGAATTAAAAGGATTTTGGTCCTAAATTGTATTTAAGGAAGGATCTGTTCATCATTTAAAACTGTATCGGTAGTGTATCTATGTATTTGTCACTTTACGTTTATGCACCTGTTACAAAATGGCCGTCAGTTTTGTAGTGTGAACGTTCGTATATTTCAGAGGTTAAAGTTGACATTAATTTCACGTATCACAGTTTGACAATTATAGTAGGTTCACATGGATTTAGGGAACAGGCGAAAAAGTTCTGACAAGAGGTTAGTTTTCTCAAAATATTTATTAAGTCCGATGAAATATTTGTCTGTCACATTAAAATACTACTAGCTAAACAATCTTTTGTTTATCTGTTATAGCTTTGATACGGATGATGATTCTGATTATGCCATGATAAAACGTATCAAAATGGAACCTGAAGCTATATTGCCCCAGGAGGACGATATAATGGCTCAGTTACAACAGGAAAGCTCGGATTTAGAAGTAGAACCTAGTTTTGCCTTAGAAGGTGCCGCGAACGGAGACGATTGTAACGAAGGTGTCCTGATACAACATATGGACATAAGGGAGCCTCTCTCTACCTTACGGAATTTATTGGAACAAAGGCTAGGAGTTGAATTAACAGAGTATTCCTTTTGGTTGCAAGATGCGCAGATGGTAAACAAATATAACTGAATGATTCAAATTTTATGTTTGCCAATAGTATTCTCCTACTTATGAACATTCCTCCAGTTAGAGAGTCACAAGAATCTGGTTGACCAATGCGTGCAAGGTGAAGGGTTAGTCCAAGTAAATGTTCAAATAAAAGCAACTCAAAGGCGTATTAATATAGTAGATGTCTTGAAGCCTGCTGAAGATTATATAGAACTAGCGGAGAATACCAGTATGTATTAATATCTTGTCCATTCTTTAGAGTTTTTATAATAAATTTTGTTCTTTAGCAGCTGCACCAGTTAATGAAGACAATAAACGAAATGTTATAAGGTGGATGGTTGATCCACAATATAAGAAAGAGCAGGTATAATTTTTGCTAAGAATAAGTACAAAATTCTTTGGATTAGAAACAAATTTGTTAATACATTTATCAATATTATAGGAACGTTTAAAAATTCCTGCCGATCCTAAGGAATGGACACAAACCCACGTGAAGCATTGGCTTCAGTGGGCAGTTAGGCAGTTCAATTTGGCTTCTGTAAGATTAGCAGACTGGAATATTACAGGACAACAATTGTGTAACCTCACACTTGAGGAGTTTCAAGCTAAAGTACCGCTGGATCCGGGCGAAGTGTTTTGGACTCACTTAGAATTACTTAGGAAATGCAAATTCGTTGGTATGTTTCAACTCGTTCTAACGATTAATTTCAATCATTGTTTTCATTATGGATAGTCTTATTGTATAAATTCTTGCAGCTGTTGTGCAAAAAGATTCACCAGAGTCACCCACAGAAAACAACGCGGACAGGTCCATAAAAGTTCGAAATCAGAAGGCCACGAAACCAAGACCTTTGGTGAATCAGCAGGCGCGTGTAGTTAGTGTTCCTCTCGAAAATATCGATGCTACGCCAATCACGATAGCAACCTCCAGCCGTTCAGTTAATAGTGGTCAAATACAATTGTGGCAGTTTCTGTTAGAGCTGTTAACCGATCGGGAACATAGAGGAGCTATTCAGTGGGTGGGAGCAGAGGGTGAATTCAAATTAAATCAACCGGAAGCTGTTGCACAGCTTTGGGGTGCGCGAAAGAATAAACCTTCTATGAATTATGAAAAATTAAGCCGAGCGTTGCGTTATTATTACGACGGAGATATGATTTCGAAAGTTCATGGAAAGAGGTTCGTGTACAAATTTGTGTGTGATCTTAAGCAAGTACTGGGCTACTCGGCCGCTGAGTTGGGTCGATTAGTGGACGAGGGTAGAAGATATTTCTGATCGAATATTTTTCTATTACTGCAACGACCTTATGGTACTTCCAGAGTATTTTGCATCAACTATTGTATATATTCAGTGGAAATTACACGGTTATTGTCGAGACAATCGAACTGTACATCGAAACATAGAAATTAATAAAAAAAAATTAAATATACTTTATTTGATTATTCATTTTATGTTTCCGGAATATCGAATTATATTTTCTTTTTGTACAGTTTAGAAGTAACGTCGGTAATGAGAATAAGTGTTACATCCGATGAGTAGTTCCGACATCTACCGTCAGGATATACTCAACAGAATTTGTGGTTATTGATTGTTAAATAATAAATGAAATATTATTTAAACACTTCGGCACTTTCTTTAATTACAATCTATCATAGCAATAATTTGAATTCTTAAATGCACAAACATTAAATAATACTGTTAATGTTTCATAAGCTATAAACACTTTAACTCTTTGCAAATTTGTAACTAAAGGAACATTCTCAAAAGAAATTTTTCTGACAAGAGAATAAAATAAAAGAAATACACATGAAAAGTGAATGAACCTTACATCCTAAATTCAAAACGTGTAACCATTAAAATCGATAATGGTTGGTAAGATAGGAATCTCTAATCACAAAAAGCTTGAACACTATAAAGTTGGTACTAACATCGTAACTCACCAGAAATTTCAATAAGTACATAATTCTTTTTCAAAATCAAAAGCAATACATCCAGCCATTTCTCTGAACGTATACAAAAGTAAAACGTATTCACGGAATGCGAATGAAGAAAAAGTAACATCGTACGTTTCGAATCATTATATTATTTGTAAACGAGAGACATTATAAATTTTCCAGGGTGTATTATGCAGCGGATAAAGACGTTTGAAATACCGAGTCTCTTCGACTTCGTTGCTTAAAGCGTGCGTCGACGTATTCGGCCGCCTTTCATTTTATTTTGTTTTTTATCTCTGATGCTAGGACTGACTTTTGATCGGCAAAAGGCAGCACTGATCGCCAATACCAGAGAATCTAGCCTGTGAGATATCGGTCGCGACGTCACAAGTTAGGGTCTCAGGGGACCGGCGACGCGGCAGGCTTTACAATCAGCCCGCCTGCCATTGCCCTTTTTTTCTCTCATCTTTCATTTTCTCCCTTTCACTCGCTTGCAAGCACACTCCTTCCCGCGCGCACACCCACCATCACTCTCCTCCATTCCCCGAGCCTTTCCCTGTCCATTCCTTTACGGGGATTCCCCGAGCCATGTACACACCCCTTGCAATTTCATATCTAGAGTGCTCCGTCGTTTTGAACGTCGAGCCTGCTTATCGACACGCTCGATTCTCTCGGGTCCTCTATTGACCGGGGAAGAACCTGATTCAAAACGACGACCACCCCAGACCATTTTCCATGGAAGGCGTGTTTTCACAGGAGTCTACACGTGCACATCTCGTACTCTCGTGATTCAGGATAGAAATTAATGGAATATAATTTTAGTCGTTTCTTTACTTTCCTCGAGTGTAAGCCCACACACGCACACACGCGTTGACAATTATTCGCAATGACACTTGTCGGCGTTTTCTTCTCGATGGCATTGTCTTGGACGACGGAACGCTGTGGCGTCGACGACCGGGAAAGTTAGCAAGTTGTACAGTGGACTTCGTATCACGCGAATTTCCATTCCCTACTATACAACCTACTACCTCACCCAGGCGTCGTCGCTAATCATCCTCTTCTGTGGGACATTTCTTAATCCAGCAGTTACTTTTGTTCTCTTTTTAATTAACCCTTCGAGCGTTTAGCGACATTACGAGTGTTCCTTCTTATAGAGTTTAGTCATAAATAACTTCCGTCTTGGACATTAAGAAAATAATTAAATAGTTATTAATTTAAACTATTCAGAATCTCTAACTGTCGGATCTGGACAGATGGAAATTAGAAGATAAACGGAAGTAACTTATGATTCGACCTGGTGAATAACGGTAGAACTCCGTTTATTTGAATTAATCAAAGGTGAAGCTATTAGGATGTTCAGTTGATCGAAAGGATTCCATTCATGTAAACGGAGCTTTACCGTACGTTATATGTAGACTGTAGACTGAAGGAATAAACTTCTCGTTCTAAAGTCTAAATATAAGTAAGATTGCGTTAGACTGATGGCAAGGGTTCTCTTTAAACTTAGACTTTACACTCTAAACATTGACCTCTAAGACTGGTTGTCACGGAGAGAAGGCAGATCACTTCTGAGGAGCTGTTCCATTGTTGAGAGAGGAGGAATTAGCACTCTCCAGTTCCAGCAGACTCGACACACTTTTTTCTTTCGGATCTGCTCTCTCTGCCGCGGTGATATCGGTCTCTGGCTTCAGCAAGAGGTCCGAACTCCCGTTGAGAACCGGAAGTGTGCCGCTTGCTTTCAGGAGGGCAGAGGGGTGTGAAGGAGAAGGAAGAGGTTCCGCCGAAAAGCTTAAATGCTGGCCTGACTACATGTACCGGTAGATAGGAGCTTGCGGTATACATATAAAAAAGCCCACAAGTTCGGATCTACGGGTTAGTATCATCAAGTATAGCTGACAATGGTTATCTCTGGCAAGGTCCACGATGATTCCAATGTCTTGTCTTCTTACTAGTTCGCCGCTGCATCTAAAACTGAACGCAACACACTATCAGTTTTCATGAAGTCTTCTATGACCATATTATAATACTTTTGCAGGTACTGTACCCTTTCTTATCACTTGCACCGTCATTTCGACGTTTGACAAGGTCAAACGAAGCTATTTCATCCGCAGGAAAATTAGCATGATGTCCTAACTAAATTGGTCATGTTAGGTTGATATCTGATATCAACTTTCCATGATAAATAAAAAACAGATCTTTATGCAGCTATAAATTCTTGCAGGGAGTCTCATAAAAATCAGAAACTGATTTTCTGTAATTCTTCTTTAGTTTTTCTGAGATTTTATAATTCGTCAAAGATATTTTTAACAATTTACCTATTTATCTACCTATCCATGCATAGATGCTTGTTAATAGATTCCTCGATATCTATGTTACATTGAAAAGTGGCTTAACAGTTTTCCTTTAAATGACAATGGCTAAAAATTGGTATGTTATTTAGAAGAATATTTTGTTTTATGATTGTAGTTGCTTTGCCATTGAAAAATTGCTAAAGAGTTCCTACAGAGGGATTTTAATAGTTAATTTAAAATTTTTTTTAATTTTTAAAAACCGATTAAATGACCACTGGCAGGCGGAATGTTACGTTACAAGCGAAATTAAAACTTATAAAACACAACCTATTGATAGATAATTATGTTTGCTACAACAGCATAAAAACCTGCAGTCAACAATTAACAGCGCTAAGATACCATTCATTTGAAATCTTCCAATTTTTCAAATTGGATGTTGCAAATCTTTCAAAATTTGCAGGGTTCACGCTTGATCCCCTAACACGAGCAACAAATTTTACTAATTTTCGTATAGAAACTCTAAAACAACATCTATTCAGACAATAGCTCACTTATAATTCAGTTCGCGCGTTACTAAATCAATTTCTTTAGTACTTTTCCAGAGAAGGGTCTATTATCTTTTTTATGCAAGAGTTTTACATTGCATCGATCTCTCGATCATTAGCAACGGTAGGTTCTATTTATTATATTTTACCATATAATCTACTTTCCTTTAGGAATTTTAGGGTAATGTATGTATTTTCCTGAAGTTCAGTCTGTGGATAGTTCTACATCATACTTTTGTCTAAGGGTCTGGAATCTCTAGCATTTAAATAGGAAATACTTAATCTCAATATCCAGTTACATTGGTTACCAAGTGAAATATTAATCTTTTTCAGAAAACGTTCAAATGAGTCTGCAGTGGCCTGTTCCAACTTGTTACGCTTACTCCTTTAGTTATCGTTTTGTTATAATTGTAACAGAAGAATCCAAAAATGGCTCATTCCAACCCATCCTGTAGCTCTATTGTTAAAGGACACCGATAAGTTAACAGAACGAGAGAATCCTCGAATGGACTATGCGGTGAAGCCCATTCCCCGCTGGACGACGCCAACGGTTGCAGGATCAGCTCGGCTCGAGTCTTCTTCTCGCGTTATCGACGAGAGAGAGAGAGAGAGAGAGAGAGAGAGAGAAAGGAGAGAGAAAGAGACAGAGAGAGGGAGAGAGAGAAATTTCGCGTGATCCGCTGCGAGTTTCTCACGCATGGCCCCTGGCTCGCCACGCCGCTGCCGGTTAGAGATCAGAAGGGCATAGAAAAAGAAGGCCGGAGATCCTGCAAGAAACAAGACGAAGAGAAAGAAGGAGAAGAAGAAGAAGAAGAAGAAGAAGAAGAAGGAGAAGAAGGAGAAGAAGGAGAAGAAGAAGCAGAAGAAGACGAAGAAGAAGAAGAAGAGCAAGAAGAATATAAGAGAGTAGGGAGTAGGTAGACTCCGACGTTGTAAAAATCCCCGGGCTGTTCGCTCGTAGACAGTTGAATGGCCTCTGCCTTGGCTCTCCTTGCGCGGCCTTAAGGGATGTTAGGCACCGTTCCCAACTGGACCGATTCTGCTTCTCCGCACGACCGACTCCTCCGTTCCAATTATTCCGCTCGACTTGCTGGCCTGGTCGCGTCGCCTGAAACACAACGCAAATTAGACAATAAGCCGGGAACCAGCTCGATAAGTAAGATCCTCTCTCGCCCCAGTCGCAATCGGTTAAGCGTGATCGATAGCTACACCCGACCCGGCGGTGACTAAGGTAAGTAAATTGAACGCTATGCATTCTGTGCTGTATAGATACCATAAGTAGGAAATTAAACGCGAACACGACGTTACCGTTTCAGTGGCGCGGATGATCGGCCGCTGTGAATGGATCTTAAGGGCAGGAAGACGGCTAGGCGGCCTGGACCGGACAGCGGCAAGAACTTCCAGTCCTCCTTGGCTCGATTAAGTTGGCGATCGTCGCCACGGTTTCCACCTACGGCAAGAAACGAAGATGTTGAATTTCGGCGTCGAACGGATCCGGGAAATTTTTTAGCGATGTCCGCTGGGAAATGAGAAAGTGTAGTTGTATAGTACTAATCGTTGCTTCTGCTTTATTTGATTTATGTTGGTGAGATTACTGAATTCATAATTATATTTGGGTGTTGCGTACTGTTATAAATTAAGTGTAGTTTGTTTATATTA